AATCACATTCACAAAAACAAAAAAACAATTATAGAAATGAAAGATGGAGAAAAATTACACGTACATAATTATTCTCACCACTCTGTGTAATGATATATAAATTTACATTTTTGTTTGTTGAAAAGTTTAAAACAACAGAAATATAAATATCCTGATTAGAAAAAAAAAGAAATTTAAAATACGGTAATTACAGTGATCTTGTGTATTCTGAAAGACAAACATTGGAAAAAGTAAAAAAAAAAAAATTTAAAAAAAGGGCATGACTTGTAAACCAGAGGAGCAGAAAAAAAAGAAGAAAGAAAGACTTACTTTGGCTTACTTGCAGGAATGAATGGCACACTGAGATCAGACAGAAGAAACTCTCTGTGTCGTGCAAACACATTGAAAAAATAATCTCATTCTTCGCCTTTCTTTTTCAAGCTAATATCTCTGCATCCGAGCACTCATATTTCACACAAAACATGTACTGTATTATTGCAGTACAACACATACCTCTGTGCACTCATATTTTACATCAAACGGGTACATTTATACCGTACAACTATGACAGCATGTAGATTTATACACTCATATTTTACATCAAACATGTATTGTAATACAGCATAGCTCTTCACACTCACATTTCACATCAAACGTATACATTTTTACTGTGTTACTAGATCTATTACAGCGTACAGCTCCAAGCACTCTTATTTTACACAAAACATGTAATTATACATTTAGCTCTACACATTCATATTTTACACAAAATATGTCATACAGCATAGCCCTTTACACACATATCCTGTACAAAACACGTAACATTGTAGTACCACATAGCTCTGAGCACTCACATTTTATATATATATAAAACATGTATTATAGTAGCAGCTCTGAGCTCTTACATTTTACATAAAACATGTATTATAGAACTATAGCAGACCACTGTACAGCACTCATACATAACATAAAACTACATGTAGTATTATCGTAGCAGCTCTGAGCACTGACACTTCACATAAAACATGTATTACTGTAGAACACTGTACAGCACTCACACATTACATAAAACATGTATTATTGTAGAACACAGTACAGCCCACGGCTCTGTGCAATAACTCTTAAGTAATAATTATAACAACAGCTTGTCCGTCAATGTCTGACGATGACCAATAGCCTACATCCCCAGGGGACAACATTTCTCCAGCGAAATAGAAGAGTTAGAATTCAGAATTATAAACATTAAGATGCTTTGTGGCTTCTGCTGTGGCTGATGAGACCAATTCTGGCAGGGAAAAGTTTGCCACATTTTGAACATAAGTACACGCCAGTTGAACAGGAAGCAGCAAGCAGCACTGCTCGCTTGTTTTTACAGATACAAGTAGTTCAGTTTAGTTTTAGTAAGAGTTTTACGGCACTTGCAACACAATAAGGTTATATAAGTGCCGAAGATTAGAGGTGTTACAAGAGAGTAATAAGCACAAAAAAGAAGGAGGAGAGATCAGGACGATAGATGTTTGATAGGAAAGAAGAGGCAAACCACACCAGAGCATCCGCCAACCGCCCACAGACACGTAGTTGATGTAGTTTTATAAGAAGAGTGGCTGTAGAGAAATTTGTGAAGCTGAAAAATTGGATGAGAAAACTGACAGTGTACATTTTGTAAACTAAGAGAAGAGTTAAGTCATAAATCTTTGATCCAAGAATCCATAATTATATAATTTGTATGAACCTCTAAATCCCTTGTTTCTGGCAAGCCACTCCCAGCGGCTCGTGATCAGAGCGGCCGTGCCTTTACAACGACGTTGTTATGTCAACTTTCGGCAAATGCCGAAAACAGGTCTCTCTCTTACCACGATTTCTTTCATTCGACGAAGGAGTATCAAAATAGGTTCATTTCTTTTGATTTAATGCCCAATTTAGTAATTTAGTGACGTTTATGTCATTGTCCAGTTTTGTACCAAAAGAGGGCTCCCCTCAGGAGATAAAGGGTTAAATCACTCACTCACTTTATCCCCCAAAAGTGACATAACCCACAAGACAGAAACTAATGTTTCTGACAACACATTACGTTGCCCCACACAAAGACTGATTGTCTTATTTAATTCTAAATCTTTCATGGTCCCAAGATCTGGAACTCACAGACTGGTAATTTTAAGTATTTTACAAGAGATCAAATCATTCAAAAGTCAACTCAAGTAACTTCTGTTTTTAGACAAAAGATATATATATTATATATCAAGATCCCTAGTCAGAACACAATGTACTGTTTATTTATTTGTTACTTCTTGTATAAATATTTAAGTATACTTTGTAAAGTACTCACAGTCTGTGTTCTTTAAGTGGGGTTGAGTGCTATATAAATGCCATTTATTATTATTATTATTATTATCATCATCATCATTATTACTATTGTCTACATTACTGTATTTGACAAAAGGAATGTTTTACAACACAAAATGGAATGATTCAGTCTTTATCAGCTTAACAATCCCTGCCAAAAGCTTATAACAACCCTTATTTTTTTGTCTGCTATTGCATGACTTCTGCACCCAGACTTAACACTTGGCCCCCTCAGGACGCCGATCGGCGACGGTGTGATATGATACAGCATGTACCGCACCTGTATCCAGGTCCGTGGGCACAAGTGTTGCGCGCTCTGCGAGCTGCATGGGCAGAAAGTGTTAAGGATAAATGTATTCAGAATGTCCTGAAATCTGAAACCCTTTTTAACATATGCTTTAGTTATTACTATCTCGCATATTATTTCATTGCAAAAATTACCTCGACTGTCTCAAAAGCATTTTGTATTACTGCAAGGGAAGATTGAAGAATACCGGACCACTCATATACATTATAGCGCGAGAATGTGGGGTGGGCGGTTGGGGTGGAGGAGGGGGTGGGGGTGGGGGGGTTCAGGGGGATCTGCCCCCTGACAAAATTTTAATGAATAGATCTACCGGTCCGAAATTCTCCATTGAGAGATATTAAAAACTGGGGAAAATCATGAATTCCTAAGGTTGAGACATAGGCAAAGTCAGTCCGCTGGTCCGGTATTCTTCAATCTTACCTACTGCAAAATGCTGAAACAGTAACTAAAAGGAAAGCAACAGAAATTCTGAACATCGCACATACACCTAAAAATAAATAAATGGGTCAGCAGTGTTAATCAAAAGCTTAGACACAGCAGTGTTAATCAAAAGCTTAGACACAGCAGTGTTAATCAAAAGCTTAGACACAGGCGAAATCAACATTGTAAAAGTCATATAATTTTGTGTTTTTTTGTTTAACAGTCACAGATTAAAACAGAACACAAGGTTTTCCATAAGACAAAAGTAGAAGGCCAACAACAGAAAACCCACAAGAATGTGCCAAGACTGAAAGGAAACTGACATAGAACTATTGGTCTAATGATTTACTCCCCTCCCCCATCCCTAAATAGAAATGTGAACTTCAAAATCTATAATATAGTTATAGATATGACAAATGATAATTACGTTACAATGTTTTTCTGAAACAACAAAAAACTTTTCTCTTCCTTCTGCTTGGACTCGCCGGAACACAACAAAAAACATTTCTCTTCCTTCTGCTTGGACTCGCCGGAACACAACAAAAAACATTTCTCTTCCTTCTGCTTGGACTCGCCGGAACACAACAAAAAACTTTTCTCTTCCTTCTGCTTGGACTCGCCGGAACACAACAAAAAACAAACAACCCTGTGAAAATGGTGGCCAATAAACTGGTTCATCGTGATACAATAATTCTAATATTTTTTTCCATTTTGATCATTGGTTTTCTGTAATCCTCATTTCAATCGACCTCCCTCTTTTTGTGACGATAACATCATACAGGCGGCCACCATGCTTTTGTCCCAACAGAGTAATACTGAACTGAGCGCAAGATCTGCGCCATTAGTTTGACATGGGGACACACCACCCATTCCATTTTAAGCATTACAATAAAATATTCATCAGTTCTAGAAGCACAATATGTCCACAACTTCTAGTGTACCCTGCAGCAGTTTTAATAAGAATCAAATCATAACACACAACAATGAAACAGGCTGACAGCAAGAAAGAAAAAACCCCCAAAAAACCCAAAACTTTTCATGCCTAAAGAACACAAATAATCTGAACTACTTTCAGAACACAAAGACTAATAAAGGCCAAAAGAAGAGTTACCCAATATTCTCCTCTGAACTTTCTCTTAAGTAAATCACTTTGCAACAAAATACTCTGCATCCAAACAGTGGAAAACTGTTTTAAAAATACTGAGGTTTTTGATTCACTGCCTGGAACGCTGATGTGACAAAAAACAACAACAACTGAATCTCAGCAGAATACAAACCAGTGGTTACAGAACATTTTGTGATAGAATAGTCTACAGCAGTCAGCAGAGATGTCGTTTTTCCATTATTTCAGTTTTTTTCCTGTTATTACGGGCATCATCCGTTCTTAAATCGGCTTTCCGTTCATCGGATCCGTTCTCCGATAACGACGCAAAAATGGTTGGGTGAGAAGCCGGTTTCCCATTTTGTTCCATGTACGGATGGAGTGGCACGAGGATCCATATTTTTAATCAACGCAAGTACACTCGCTGAATCAAAATGTGTATGATCAACCGGATGTTTAGGTCCTATTTCAAATGTAGGCACGGCCTAGCCTTGCTCACTCAGTCTCACGCTTGTGAGAAATCTAGATATCTAGATCTGCGGCAGCTGAAGATTATCCGTCTAGAAAAAAATGTAAATTTTACAAAAGTCCAGTAGCATCCCTGAGGGAGGATAAAGAGTTCTTGCGTGCAGTCTAAAGGGCGGGGAAAAAAGTGTAAGTTCAAATATTAGAAATAAAGCATTCAAGTCACAAAAACCCTCCTATCCGTACTTGGGTTGAGCATAACCAACTATCTCATGACCGAGATATTCTCGAGTACGGTACCCCAAAAAGTTTGTATCACAATCACTATGGGCTGCAGGGAGCACATCGCCACCCCCCCCCTCCCTCCCTCCCCCCACTCCCTTATCTCTTTTGGTGGAGTCCCAACCCCCTAATTCTTCATAATGAACATCTTCAAAACCTGTGAGTGGAATGAAACAAGAGCTCATCCTTTATCATTAACTTTATGTGATGTATTGTCAAATTGGTACAACACTGAGTATAACATAATTGGTATAATACTGGGTTGCTGTGGGCATCTGGCGCTCACAGCACCTGATAGTGATAGACATTTGGGAGACGTGCTGACAAAATGAGTTACTTCTCGCTATCCACAAATTGAGATATTGGCTTCAAAATCGACACTAGGGTAAAATTTGTAGAATTTTTATTAATGCCACTTTATCTAAATATAAAATGCCTTTCATTATTTCCCACTAATAAGTTGTACAAATTTCACCTCTAAACGTGATATATCTTTTTCCATAAGGCTAGAAATCTGAGAAGCAACTCATTTTGTCACCACGTTTCACATTTCTTTAGCTGGTGCTAGAGTTTCCCAGTGGAGAAATGAAATGTCAAATCACGACTGCCCTTGTCTGTTTCAGATCCGGCACTTTATGACGATGACGATGATCAGTACAAACTAAAACTCATGAGTATTACTTCGCTGTTAAGTTTATGAGCAAAAGGAAACTCACATCGCATATCAACCATAAATGTGGACTGCCAACCACATACAGAACAGAAGTCTCCACCTAAACGATTTCTTGCACTACTCTCTCAGCATACCACAACTCACACACGCTCTCTACCATAGCTGCCGGATGTCAACGACACACTCAGAGTTCATGTGACACAATCAGGGGTCATGTGACACACTCAGAGGTCATGTGACACAATCAGAGGTCACGTGACACACTCAGAGGTCATGTGACACAACCACAGGTCACGTGACACAATCAGAGGTCACGTGACACAATCAGAGGTCACGTGACACAATCAGAGGTCGTGTGACACAATCAGAGGTCACGTGACACACAATCAGAGGTCGTGTGACACAACCAGAGGTCACGTGACAACACAATCATCATCGTTTCTCCCAGTTCTCGTCCTTCTTGCTGCTCGGGTCCCCACTCTGCTGTTTCTGCCGCGTGACTCCTCGCACGGACACATGGGCCCAGCCACTCTGGGAAGAGATCAGATCAGATCAAAGGTGAGACGGGCTGACAAAATGAATTACTTCTCAAATTCAAGCATTTTATGGAAGTAGATACTTCACGCTTATCGGTGAAGTTTTTACAATTTATGAGATGAAATAATTAAAAGGCATGTTTAGAGTTAAAGAGTACGGTATCAACGGAGAATCTACAAATTTGATCCTAGCGTTGATTTTTGGCCAATATCTCCATTTGTGAATTGCGAGAAGTAACTCATTTTGTCAGCACACCTCACAAATGTTTTGGTTATCATTTCAGGAAATAACCCTTTGCTCCTTTCTCATCAAACATCTGTCGTCCTTATCTCTCCTCCTTTTTTGTGTTTGTTACTCTCATGTAACACCTCTAATCTTCTGTATTTATAAGATCTTCTGCACTTATATGATTATATGACTTTATTGTGTTGCAAGTGCCCTAAAAATTTACTTATTATAGAAAAATTTACATACTATAAAAAAAATATATTAAAAAGCAGTAGGACACAGACACGACTCGATAAACCTCAGTGGACGTGGCTAAACTGAACTGGTCTTTTTTAGTTTCAGTAAGAGTTTTTCGGCATTTGCAACACAATAAGATCATATAAGTGCCGAAGATTAGAGGTGTTACAAGAGAGTAACATACATAAAAAAGAAGGAGGTGAGATCAGGACGATAGATGTTCGATAGGAAAGAAGGAGCAAACCACACCAGAGCACCCACCAATAACCCACTGAACTGGTCTGAACAGAGACTGATCAGTCCTGTGCTCATGTGCACAACTCACCCCAATGACCACCTCCCAGTCGGTGCCCGACGGTTTGGACGGTGAGATCCCCACTCTGTTGTAGATTACCCCCGGCCCATGCTTCATCTTGGAGAAATACGCATCGGCGACGATCCACACCTGACGACGACAAACAAACATTTACACTCTCATTACAACATCGTACATCCACAGGGACAAGAAAGTATAACCTGATCTTGTATAAATATATCAATCCATACCTAAAGAGCAAAAGACATTTCTTACTCTCCTTAAATATATGTCTATTGAGGCAATAAAGTATTATTTGTGAGGCAGCGTGGTGGAATCAGGCTCTCGTCAAAATAATCAAAGTGAAGAAACTTACATTTTTCTGCAGGTTTGTGAATTTTTATCAAATTTTTGTTTTTTGGCTCAACACCTTTCATGTCCATGAAAGAACTCATTTCTGAGTGGATTTTTCTGAAAAGCGTTGATTAAAGGCACAAAAATTTTAATTTTCAGTTACCACGTACTCCTAAGCTATGGAAATAACTAATCTTTGGCGGCCATTTTCTCGCTAATTTTACTTCTGAAAACAGGTGACCCCCACCTCCTTCTTTCGCAAATATCTTGACATGTATTCAAGATAAATGGATATTTTTTCATCCAAAAAAAGACAGGTGAACAAGCTTTAAGATAATACCAATAACTCTACATGCCCAAAAAGTGACGAGAGCCTGATTCCACCACGCTGCCTCACATTTTATCTTGCATATCAATCCATACCTAAAGAAAAAAGACATTTTCTATTCTCCTTACACATCATAGGTCAATTCAGACCAAACGATACAAGAAATTTTCTTTCTCTCAACCCATCATACTACGTTAATCTAAACCAAATGATAAAAGACATTTTCCCCTCTCATTTCACATAATTCATACCAAACTGTAATAGACATTTCCTGATCTCGTAATTTTTTAAATGATCACAATGGAAAAAACAATCAACGTCACATTTTCAGGATTACAAGAAATTTTTAAAAAATCAAATGTTAAAGAGCGGACACATGACATATTCATCAGAGTACAGCTCCCTATATGGTCAGTCACCTGGTCGGTGGGTCCCACGTTCACCCGCTTGACCCGACTGGCCACCAGCTCCCAGCCCGTGCCTTCTGGGAAGGTCGAGGTTATGTTCTCTCGACGCCACAGGTTGTCTGCCGAAAGTGAAGAGAAAACAGATGAGTGGACGTCTTAGTGCATTTTGAGGAAACATAGACTTTAACTGCATCCACAGGGTAAGAGATTAACCCTATCCGTACGTCGTGTTTTACTATCATATCCATACGACGTGGGGAACTCTGTGCCACCACTTAACCCTATCCGTACGTCATGTTTTACTATTGTATCCATATGACGTGGGGAACTCTGTGCCACCATTTTCCACAGAGAAAATTTACTCGTTAATGCGACCCCTACGCTTTGCATAGCAGTCTGTCAAAATGATTTTTTGAGAAATACTGAAAGTTTCAAAGAGAACTTCGTAATAGAAGTATTCTAAAATATGAAGAAAACAACCCCGGGGGTACAAAAAGACCCCAGGGCGCACAGATAGAGTTACGGTGAAGGCCACATGGAATCTGAAGAAGAGTCACATAGACTGATGTACAGAAAAACATGGAATAACATCAAGAGGCTAGCCCGGGATGGGGAAAGTGGGAAAGTGTTTGTTCATGGCCTATAACCTGATGCAGAGTGAGAAAGGCATAGACGATAACTATTCTGCACCTAAACATAAAGACATCACTTTAATAACTTTACCAAAATTGGTGAGTCAACAAAACTTCCCTGTTTTGTCTTTTTTAAAATTTTCGGCCGGAAAAAAATGAGATGAACCAAGATTGCAAAATGTGAACCACGGTACAGCGAGGGAATACTTTATATAAACTGAGAGCTGTCAACGCTAAAATCGAAAAAACCCCACCCCAAAACCCCCCACAAACAGTCCAAAACGGCAATCAGAATATCTCGGTCTCTCATCACTGACCTCCAGTGTCCACTGCCCACACAGCCGTGGCCCCCACAGACAGCTGATGAAGGACAAAGTTCCCCGGGGGTGGGGGGACTACTTGCAGCCATCGCTTGCCTGGAAGAAAGGGGCCGAAAGGGGGAAGGGAAGTGTGAGTATAAAATCGAAGAAACTGGCTGGCAAGAGCAACCAAAAATCCATATATTCCTACTCTATACTCTATTCACTACACTATGTTTGGTTAGAGTGTATATGTGTCACGACGCATTCGGATCAGGCGCTCGTCATTTTTTGGGCATCTGGAGTTATTGGTATTATCTTAAAGCGTGCTTATTTGGCCATCTTTTGACGAGAAAAATACACGCTTATCTTGAATAGAAGTCCAGATATTTACGATTGAAGGAGATGGGGGTCGCCTGGTTTCAGAGGTAAAATTAGCCAGAAAATGGCCGCCAAAGTTCGGCAGCTTCCAAAGCTTAAGAGTCCTTAGAAACTGCAAATTTACATTTTTGTGTTTTAAATCAACATTTTTCTGTAAAATCCACAAAGAAATGTGCTTTAAATGGACCTTAAAGGTGTAGATTCAAAAGACAAAAATTCGATAAAAATTGACAGACGGTCAGAAAAGTGCCAGTTTCTTCGATTTCATCATTCTGACGAGCGCCTGATTTCACCACCATGCCTCACATATGAAAAACGTCAACAAAGATGAGTGTAAGTGTAAATAGAACCTGCCATTAAATTTTGTGGGTTTTTTCCTCTAAAATTACAAAAAGAAAAAAAACAACACTGCAAAAACAATATTCTACAGCTCAAGTTGCATTTCAGAATCAAAATTGTTTGTAAAATCTGTCAACAAACTGCTGAACAGTAAGATTTTGGTAGTCAAGTCACGTTTTAATACGGTTTTACGGCGCTCACAACCTCTTAAGGTCATATGAGCGCCGAGGGGTGGACGTCAACAGAGAAGTCCAATCGAGGAATCAGGCTTACTCTGCTCACCTCTCTAGCCTCAACAGCACAAGGTCTGCTTCGACTATCAAGGCACCCCGGAAATAGCAGTTCACAAGAGAGTGACAAAAGAAGTAGAGGAAAAATGACGATAGTAAGGATGAGGAAAGAAAAAGCAGCAGTTCCCCCAATATTGTTCCGACACAGTATGAGCATGACATTGATAAATCAGCCTGTTTACAATTCTACTCTGCATAAGAACATGGTAATATTTCCCCTTTGGGAATGGCCTAAAGACAACTTCAGTCAGTAGCACTGCTCCGTGGGGAGGGGGAGGGGGGCGAGGGGTGTAGTCAAGTCAGACACCTCAGTTTGTCTCTAGGCAAACAAGACACAACAATAAACAACAGTTCAAGTTACATGTTGGAATAGAATATAAAATAAAAAACAAAAAACAAAAAACCAACCCTCCCCAAAAAACTTTAAAGGAAAAAAAAAAAACCAACCACTTCCCAATAATCAATCAACATACTACCCTGAGTTGAAAACTGTTGCTGTAACCTACCAGCAGGATTATGGGGGGTAACTCCGGCCCTATACCACGCGGAGCCGTCGCTGGCGATCCCCCATACCCGGTATCTTCCCCCGACGGAGATAGACTTGAAGGGTTTGTCCAGGGCTGTAGCCACATGGATCCAGCTCTTGCCCTGAGGATACGACACATTGTCCAAATAATAAAAATAATAATAATAACAATAATTATAACAATAATAATAATAAAAATAATAATACTAATAATAGACTATATAGCGCTCTATCCCATACGAGTATAAGCTCTGAGCACTTTACACCAATCACATGATCACTGAAAAGTCATCATTCATTCACATGGGATAAAATATTTCACAGTAACAAAAAAAAACCAGTTCAACCACACAAAGACCGAAGAACATCCAGAAACATTCTCAGATTCCCAAGAAACTTACAGCGAAAGCAGCCGATTATACCCTTACAAACACTAAAAAGCTAGCACAATCTTTTGCTGCCTATAGCCAGGTATCCATTCTTTCATGACTCAAAAAGCCAAATTATGCTGTCAATGAATAGAAAAGGACAGTAGCTGCAAAGGAAGACTTTAATAAAAAGCCGAAGGAGAAAGGCACTCTAAAAAGTCAAGCAACCATCTAATTTTTTTTTCCTTTACGCCCACAGGCCTGTATATTTCACGACACAAACGATTCAAAGATTCGGCAAAAAGTTATTGGAATAAAACCTTGATTACAAGACATGGTCGAACTGATAACTCAAAAAAGTCCTTTATAAAAATTCAAGAAACCAAGTCATATAAGACTGGTACATCAAACTTTCCTTTTCAAAAATTAATTTCTCAAAGGCCACAGATCTCATTTTCACAATACAAGCAACTCATTGAGTCCTCAGAACATAAAATTTCCACAATATAATACAATCTGGACTACACTATGTATTTCATTCAAGTCCCCACTATTTTCCACACTCATTCAAGCAAGAACTTAACACTTTGCTATCAAAGGCTCATATTGTAAAAATTCTTGCCATCAAAGGCAAAGGCATTTTGGGGAAAATCCAAAGAAACTGGGAGGTAAACATCGCCAATCGGCCGGAAGATATGATGTCAAATTGTTAAAACCCTCACCAGAGGGTTGCTGGCCGTGACCCCGTTGCGACACAGCACGTCCCCGTTGGCCCCGACCGCCCACATGATGACCGGGTCAGAGCTGGTCATCAGAGGATCCACCTGGATGGACACGTCGACAAGCTCCAGGGAGCCGGCCGTCTGCCACGGACCCACCACCGTCAGGCGACATCGTCTGAAAGGACAGGAGAACAGACGCATGACGATAAGGAAAAGATATCGACCATGACTGCATATGTGATACGCTCTCATCAACACAATTGGTCGCTTTTAAGCACAAGGGGGCTATCCCGAAAAATGCGGTTTAGAGAAAGTCGAAGGTAAAGTTTCTGGACCCTTGTTCAGTTTCTTTAAAAAGATAAGGAGAGTTTTCTCTATAACAAAAAAATAAATAAATACACGCCAATGAAACCAAAATTCTCCTATACAAGTAGGGCAATGCCCACTTTTGGTGGAGGTCAAGATTTCTGGAAACCCCCGAAATCTGGGTTAGCCCGCTTGTCCCTAACAGCTACCAACTTAGGTCTTACACAGATATTCATGTGCTGTTCAACCTACGTTGGTTATAATAAAAAAGTTACAAGACACTTTGTCCCCTCAGAATTATCTTGTCTAAAATATACTCAAGTAAAGAGTGCGGCTGGGACAAAATAGTTCCGAGGCGACAACATCTTGATTGTGGAAATACAACAGTATAACAGAAAGGCCTCCATCACATACCTGACCCAGCGTCGTCTTCGGAAATTGTCCCGGATGTTCTGGTGAGCGTGGAAAGGCCTGAAATTGAGGTAATGTATTCACTGTTAGAAATTGAGTAAATGTATTCACTGTTAGAAATTGAGTAAATGTATTCACTGTTAGAAATTGAGTAAATGTATTCACTGTTAGGAGCTGAGTAAATGTATTCACTGTTAGGAGCTGAGTAAATGTATTCACTGTTAGGAGCTGAGTAAATGTACTCACTGTTAGGAGCTGAGTAAATGTACTCACTGTTAGGAGCTGAGTAAATGTACTCACTGTTAGGAGCTGAGTAAATGTACTCACTTTAGAAATTGAGTAAATGTACTCACTGTTAGAAATTGAGTAAATGTATTCACTGTTAGAAATTGAGTAAATGTATTCACTGTTAGGAGCTGAGTAAATGTATTCACTGTTAGAAATTGAGTAAATGTATTCACTGTTAGAAATTGAGTAAATGTATTCACTGTTAGGAGCTCAGTAAATGTATTCACTGTTAGGAGCTGAGTGAATGTATTCACTGATAGGAGCTGAGTGACTGTTAGGAGCAGTTTAAATGTATTCACTGTTAGGAGCTGAGTAAATGTATTCACTGTTAGAAATTGAGTAAATGTATTCACTGTTAGGAGCTGAGTAAATGTATTCACTGTGAGCCTGTTTCAAAATGACAAGTAAAGGAGATGCAAACAAGAGGAGCGAGATTGAGACAAAACAAACATGCCTCACTCTTTTCTGAGCAAGATTCCAAGACTACTTGGACTGTATCTAACAGCTAAAGATTAAAAAGGACTCTTAAAAGAACACTATAATTTTTTTCCTTGTTTGCTTTTCTTTTGTTTAGTGTGTGTGTGGGGGGGGGGGGAGGGGAGGGGGGAGGAGGAGGGGAGAGCAGCAAAGCAATTCAATCAATTTTCCCCTCAAAACCAAACAGCTTGGTTTGGTTTTTGTAAAGGGTTTTACGGCGCTCGCAACTGCATAAGGTCATATGAGCGCGCGGGACACACCTAATATTTTCAGTTGGTAGGAAATTTTGAATTTTGCCCGGGTGGCGGCCGAAGCCTACTCTTATCGATTTTAGACCACCAGGGAATCTTTAACGTGTGCAACTTGCACACAGGCCCTCCGAGATTTTTCGCCCTTGTCCGAGAAGGCTAGGTGCAGATCTTTCCTACCAGAAGATCAGGGGTGTGGCAGAAAGACAGCAGTAAGGAGGATCCAAGGAGTAGCAGTAGAAAGGCTGTAGAAAGAGTCAGGAGCCCAGAGGAGGGGGCAAAGGTGGTGAAGGGGTGGGGGCAGAAAGTGGAAATGAAAGCAGACAACAGAACATTGCTAGAGAGCAGGAAAGGAGGTGAAAGGAGACAATTTTAGAGAAGAAAATTTTTCGGTCGCTACCCGGATTCTAACCCAGGACCTTTGAATGAGAGGCCAACACCTTAACCTCTAGGCCACGAGAGCCCCCCCACCAAACAGTTGAAAGGTGTAGGTCATACAGAGCTCATGTCAGCACACAGCAAATGCACATCACTACATTTACTGTAGGGCAATGAGTTAAATTACATCCCCTAAAAAAAAAACGCAACTACTGTGATTCGTTTTCACAATCTAAAATAACATGTTTACAGGTAGCAGAATGAAAAAAGTCTGTGACTGACCCGTTGATGTTGTTGCAGAACTGCCAGCCGTGTCTGTCCACGCTCCCCGGGGTGCTGAAGTCTACCATCCAATCACTGATCTGTCGGGACAAAACCACCACAAGCAATTCATCATAAGTGAGCAAATCAAAACTGAGATGTCATCAAAATAGTAATTTTATCATAAGAACACTCAACTAGCCAGGAGTATTCATACACTTGCAAAATGTTTACAAACCTAGAACTGAACACATGCGAATCTGTTACCAGGTAATCTATTTTTGAATTGGAAGTATGTCCAGCTGCTATTACTGTTGCAATAGACATGCATTTTCCCCCATTTTCCACAAACGTAACGTCGACTGTTCTCCACCTTATGTACCTGACGGTATAGGGAGAGAGTAAGTAAGTAGGTAAGCTCCTCTAGATACATGTATTCTCACTCATGCAGTCATACATGCACACACTCTTACTCAAACAACCACAACTGGACAGTAAAAGTAAAGACACAGATTCTTAAACATTAGGCTGCGTGACAAAATTCTAGGCCACACTGTGACCTTACCGTACCCAGTGCCACTTGGAAGACGGTAGCTTCACGGCGTCCACAGAAGCCACGCTGCGACCAGTCTCGGTGACCCAGTGGAAGTTGTTGCTGAACACACCCCTGTTGAACGACGGGAAAAAAAAAGGGAAAATTAAACCTTCAAAGTAATGAAAGAAAATTTTTTCCGACGTGACTCAATGGAGAAAATGGTAATGGCAGGAAAATGAGAAGGAAAGAGAAGACCAAGCGGTTTGAAAGTTTGAGTAAAGTCAAACTTCTTTTTGGCCAGCGCCCACTTTTGCCACTTTTAAGAGGATAAAACTTTCGTTCCGCCGACCTATATATATTTCCCAAAGGGACATAAAATAAACACCTGTCACTACACAGTTGACCCCAACAGCCAATCAAAACTACTAAATCCCCCACTAGTGGGAGATATCGCCGAGGTTGGTAGCAACTGCTCTAGACCACACTTGTTATGAGGACAGGGTTTTTTTGTTGTTAAGTGTTTAACAGCGCTTGCAACTGCATAAGGTCATATGAGCGCACGAGATGAGGATGTATTTAAAGAATGTCATGATCCCACTTTTGTTATAAAGATGTATATAAATATTTACTTTCTATAAGGATGTATATAAAGAATGGAATGATCACACACTTGTCAAGACTACAACACTGCGGCACTCACTTGTTGCACCAGCCCACCACAGGGAACCACTTCTGGTTCTCGTAGACAAACACGCGGTGAGAGTCGGTCACGGGCACCGTGTTGTCAGACAAAGCACCCTGGCCTGAGAACCAAGACAGAACAGACCAAAAAAATAAATAATAAAAACCCAGATAAGACAAAAATATCTACAAACTTACACAAATTATCTACAAAGCACATTGTATGTAAGTATTTTCCAAATCAAGTACATTTACCATTGTTCGAAATTCCAATAAATGCTGTAAAGTAAAAAAAACAACAACCCCCCCCAAAAACGACCCAGAGCACCACAAGCATGAACGAACATATTTATTTAATACATTTTAAAGTAATATCCTTGTAAACAACTCATCATTCTAAGATAGACAACAAGCATTTTATCTTTAACTACTTTCGTACAATAAACAAGCACTTTTAACTTGAAACTTGTTTCATTACTATAAAAAGGAAATTTAACAATAACCTTTTTCCATGCCAACAAATAAGCAATTTAACCAAAAAATTTCCCATGACTACAAATAAGCAATTTAAACAAATGTTTTTTTCATGACGTCAAATAAGCAATTTAACAACAAAATTTTCTACGATGACAAATAAGCAATTAAAAATAAAACTTTCCCTGACAACAAATAAGCAATTTAACAAAAGAATTTTTTCCATGACAATCAATAAGCAATTTAACAGTAACATTTTATCATGACTGCATATAAGCAATTAAATAATAACTTCCTTTTCCCAACAAACAAAGCCCCTTTAACAACTTCACAGAACGGAACACAACTTTACTGTTGCACACAGGAGACCCAAGGTCAATTCTTCAGTGCGGGGAAATTTTTTATCGAGTATCTCGGTCTTTCTCTTGGGACGTTCGAGTATCTCGGTCTTTCTCTTGGGACGTTCTATCCCTCTCAGCTTGGGTTGGGCCTGACAAACAGGATCGAAAACCCGCCTCCTCAATGATATAAAGCGTGTTGATGAGGGCGTAAAAACTAGGGTTGGGGCGAATGGACGGATGGGTTTGTCGCTCGCAGATGCAGCCAGAGCAAGCAAGTAGTGGATGGCCGTGCGAACAGAACTGCGAACCATAATTTGGTTCATTTTTGGGTCCACTCCACAATTTTATTCACTTAGCTAGCGGGCAAACGGACGAACTCTTGGCTGGCAGACAAGAGCGAACGGACTGCGAACCTCAATTCAGTATGTTTCTTGGGTGTGGGGATGTAATAATAGTAGTAGTAGTATGCAAAGCATGGAGTCGCTCCTTCTGTCTATTCGCCCGCTCGAATGCATGGAGTCCGCCGATCTGCTCGTTCGCTAAACGAACTGTTATGTCTGTGTCTGATGTTAAACGGATGAATCTTCACAAAGCGAATGGCTCATTACCTGTCCGTTCATTTGCAAGTAGTACCAGCAAAAAGTTTGTTGCTCGCGGGCGCTGATTTGGCGAGCCTGACCCAACTCTAGTAAAAAACACTGACATAATAAAAAGTACAACAACAGACCTGAGCTGATGGCTCCCCCGTAGCCCTTGTTGTAGTAGTAGGCCATGCGGTCAAAGCCCAGCCCCCACGTCACGCCGCTCGGCCCCGTCTCCACCACGCTCATGTGACCTCCGTGCTGACCCCAGCATCTGGCGACGCAAGGGAACTATTTTTAGCTTCGGGTGGTGGTGTTCAGTTTAACGTTTCATTTCCAGGGACAACATTTTTAGCTTTGGGTGGTGGTTTTCAGTTTAACGTTTCATTTCCAGGGACAACATTTTTAGCTTCGGGTGGCGGTTTTCAGTTTAACGTTTCATTTCCAGGGACAACATTTTTAGCTTCGGGTGGTTGTTTTCAGTTTAATGTTTCATTTCCAGGGACAACATTTTTAGCTTCGGGTGGTTGTTTTCAGTTTAATGTTTCATTTCCAGGGACAACATTTTCGCTTTGGTTGATGGTCTAGATTTTTACGCAACATCACCATATAACATAATGAATTTTTAAAACAATAAACAGGACAAGCCTCTAGAGTTACCTTCGTCTTTTTTTTTTAAATTTAAAAGGGTGATAAGCTTTGAAAACTCTTCCAACAATCTAGCTTCAGATAAGGATTTAAGTTTGAGTAAAGAAAAGCACATCAAGACCAATCTAATCAACAAAACAAACTCACAGGTCAAAGGGCTTCTGTTCCTCCGATCGCGCCGGGCTGACAAAGATGTCTCCGGTGAAGGTGCACGACCACACAGCTCCTGCAGCGATTGGCTGGTTCAGATTCCACGCGCTAGCATTGGCTGTACTCAGGTAACCAATCTACAGACAGACACACAAACATATATACACACACACGTACAGACACACACACACACCCACACACAGAGAAAACAGACTCAACTGGATTATAGCACATACATAATGGACATGGAATTTTTTTTTCTCCTATTTCTTCATCTAAAAAAAAATGAATGATGAAAGTGGGAGCAACATTCATGAATTTCAAACTGGAAAGCAACACTGTTAAGTGTAGTCACAGATTTACATTGTGGAACAGCCTTATCTAGTTGGTATAGGCAAAGAGTCTACATAACAAGAAGGTCCACTTCTCTCTTTAAGTCAATTAAAAAAGTGTCCTTAAAATTCGGTGGCGCCCTCTTCACAAATGCGCACCCTTTGCGAACAGAGTTACCCTACTTGTGTTAAAAAAACCAAAGTGAAACTAACAAGTTTTTGAATAAATAAGATTTCAAATTTCGGAAAGAAGCTTTTTTCAAATGGTTACGCTGACAAAAAAAACTCTTCCAGAAGAAGGGGTGACTGTTTTCTTCGTTTAATTTGACTTTAGAATGAAAGGTGAGAGGTCATTAAAATAAAAAACCTAAAACTCCGGAACAGCAGTCGATCTGCGCACGCAAGGAGGTGCTATTCCTATTCTTCTTCTGGAGAAACGAAAGAGAGCTTCAAAACAGACTGCAGCGCCATCTGAAGCAAAGAGCGGACTTCCGGCGGACACTTTTTGGGCTGAGTGGCCCATCTTGTTATGTACTATCTTTGGTATAGGTAGGGCTTGTGTGTGGCAGAATATCCAGTAGGTAAAGATCGGGCTTTTTTATTACAGTGTGTGATAGAATATCCAGCACAGTGGAAAATGGTGAGAGTCAGGTTTTAAAATTTCTGTAGGAAAAGAACAAGAAGACAAAAGCAAGAGAAAGTGTGCATACCCATTCAGCGGCCTCCACTTCCGAGTTGGCTCTGAGCATGAGTGGCTGGGGGATGAGGAAAGAAGGAGCAAACCACACCAGAGCACCCTCCAACCACCCACTGGGTGAGGTAAAAAAAAAAGAAAGAACCCCCCCCCCCAAAAAAAAAAAACCCAAGAGAAAGTGTGCATACCCATTCAGCGGCCTCCATCTCGGAGTTTGCCCTGAGCATGAGTGGCTGGTGGATGAGGTTGGTCATCGAGGTGTACACGGTGAAGGCCGACTGAAGGTCAGGGTCGGAGCTCGTCTTCACGCACGTCATCTCACTCAGCGATAGTTGGGTGTGCTGCAAAAGTACAATGCCGTGTCATTAAAGTAGTGAAAGTATTCCTTCGTAGAGGAAAAAGACATTTTTGTTTTAGTATGTTTTCTAAAGGCACCTGCAACATAATAAGGTCATATAAGCGCCGAAGACTAGAGGAGTTACAAAAGTACAAAGCCATGTCAAGACACTATTGAAAATCTTGGGTGTGGAAAAAAAGAGAGAACATAAGGTGTGCTGTAGAGGGATGTACATAAACTTACTGGAAATCTTGTATGAACAGAAAAAAGTGACAGAGATGTACATTAACTTTAAGCAATTCCCCCAAAAAATTTTCCCAATGGTCACCTTTCAAAATAATTATTCCATCTTCCTATGCTATTACAATAAAATCATCTTGTGCGACAAAAAAAAAAGCAAGGTTCCTTAAGGAGATTTGATATTACAATCGATTAACTTTCCTGTGCAACAACTTTCATATTTCATAGGACAGTAACATAAAAATTAAATTGCATAGAGATGTACATAAAAAAATCTTGAGAGACGAAAAAAAAAGTGAGAGTTATGTATTCTACAGATAAATATAATTCAACTTCCTTCAAAACTTTGTGTGAAAAATGTATTGGTGGGAACTTTTGTAAATTTCTACAAGACGTAGGAACTATGAAAGAACTACATAAAAGAACCTCACAAATAGAGAATACATCATAATGCTTCTGCATTTATTGTTAAAGCTTCATCCCCCTTCCATAAATTTTTTTAAAAGATCATTTAGGAGGTCGGCTGCTTCCATCCTGCCTGTCAGGGCTAACACATACTGAGCAGGACACAGCATTCCAGCAATGAAACAGAGATGTTACGTAAAAAAACCAACTTCCCCGCTCCAAAGGACTTGAACCCACGCACCTTCTGCTTGCCCTTGAGCTGGTAGTGGACGGTGAGACAACCCTCGGTCAAGTTCCCAATGCCCTGCTCCAGCTCCACGCTACACACAACCCAGCTGGACTTACGGTCGTAGCGGAACATGTGCATGGCAGCCTTCTTTACCCACGTCGTCTGAAACACAGGGGGGGGGGGATAGATCTTTACATGTGTGTCTTTGTGTGTGAGAGGGAAGGGAGTGATGGAGGGAGGGAGGTTGAAAGGAGGGAGAGAATATGTGCATGGAGGGGTTTTGTCAGCTTGCGGCAGTACAGGTGGCTGTTTAGTTAGCTTTAGTCAAGTTTTACGGCACTCGCAACTACATAAGGTCATGGGAGCACCAAGGGGTGGATGTCAAGAGAGAAGTCCAAACGGGGAATCAGGCTTACTCGGCTCACCTCTCTAGCCTCAACAGCACAAAGTCTGCTTCGACTATCAAGGCAGCCCGGAAATAGCAGTTCACAAGAGAGCGACAACCATACAAAAGAAATATAGGAAATGACGATAGCAAGGATGAGGAAAGAAAAAAACAGCAGTTCCCCCTATGTTGTTCCGGCACAGTATGAGCATGACATTGATAAATCAGCCCATTTACAATTCTACTGTATATAAGAACAACTTAAAGTCCCCCTTTGGGAATGGCCTATAGACAGCTTCAGTCAGTAGCACTGCCCCGGGGAGGGGGGGGGGAAGGAGGGAGACAGTTGGCTGTCAGAACAGATTCGACTGTACACAACATCAAGTCCTCGTTCATGTTGAAGAACCACAAACATTCTGTAATTCATTCACAATCATGCCCCTCTCTCATGAACAAAAAGAAACTCAGATATTCATCTGCCGGCACTCACTTTGTTAATGGCCTGCTCAATGTTCTTGAAAGTGTATGCCTCCCGCTCGTTGCGTTTTACGATCTGTCTCAAAATGCCGTCCCTCAAGTGACGTGAAATCTTTTTCCTCGCAGCAACTTGATTTCCTGTCTCTGGGGAATGGAAGCTTAAAGAATTAGACGATCACAATATTTGAATCATTGTTATATCTTTTTCCCACAGGATATTAATATGTAGAATCAAGAAACACATAAACTAAAAAAAATTGTATCATGTTATAAATGTGCACATCTTAACTCACTCAGGATATCCAGACTAAAACAATAATTATCATTTTTTAAAGCAGCGAGCCAGGCAGAAATACAAACAACTAGACTTGTATATTCACACAGGTCGTCTGAAACAGGGGAAATAGTGAAATTGATCTAAGTGTGTGTTTGTGAGATTTTTTTTTAGAAAAGCGCATTGCTAGACAAATACAGTCATCATTGTTGGGGGTAAATGAACAATGCTGAAACATGCAGATACAGACTTTAAAACAATCACCGTGTATGGAGGGGGTGAACCATGAACAAGGCAGAAATTTCAAATATGCAGACACAGACTAAGACAATTACAGTTTCTGGAGATAGTGAATCACGAACAATGCAGGAATACACAGACATAGACTAAGACAATTACAGTTTCTGGAGATAGTGAACCATGAATAGAAATACACAGATGTAGACTAAAACAATTGCAGTTTTTGGAAATAGTGAGCTATGAACAATGCAGGAATACACAGACATAGACTAAGACAATTACCGTGTGTGGAGGTGGTGAGTCATGAACAGAAATACACAGACGTAGACTAAGACAATTACCGTGTGTGGAGGTGGTGAGTCATGAACAGAAATACACAGACATAGACTAAGACAATTACCGAGTGTGGATGTGGTGGGTCATGAACAGAAATACACAGACGTAGACTACACAATTACCGAGTCTGGAGGTGGTGAGCCATGGCACGTTGAGAGGGTCGTCGATGACGCAGCTTGTGGCATCCAGCCACCTCCAGCACAGCCGCGGCTGGGCCTCTGTCATGGCCGCCAGGGGGATCACGGGGCCCGAGGGTTCGTAGCTGGGGGTCGGGGACTTGCGGTAGCGGGATATCTTCCTGGCTGGCTGGGGTTCTACGGCCGGGATGGTCGAGTCATCGCTGGGTAACGGCTGCGACGACAAAGTCTCGGTGGGTGAGAAGACGTCGATAACGCTGCCTCTGTCCGTGGACCCACTGCCGCTGAAAGCAGAGCTAGCGGTTGACATTTGTCTCATGGTACCGGCGTCGCTGGAAGCACTAGTATTCCCCCTTTCAGAACTACCACTGCCGTTTTGAGTAGCGCCTTGAGTATCTGTGGCCGCACAATTTTCATTTTCCAAGGAGTTTCCTGTTTTTTCTTCTGCTTCTGCGGAGAATTCCTCGTCAGAGATGAGATCTGTGACAAAATCGATAATTTCGTCCGACGCCATCGACGAGTTGAGACTGCCGAGACGGGACCCGGCAAATTCGGCACTCCGTCGACTCTGCTCATTCTCAAAACTGCCTTGCTTAGTGAGCGGCGGTCGACTCCCTTGACCATCACCCTCACCACCCTCGGAAGACGGCGAGTGTCCATCAGCTTCTTGTTTGTGGTTGTGTTCGTTCATGTAGACTTCCAGACTGTGGAAGGCTTTGTCTATCGTCATCTCCACATTGCTTTCTGACAACTCCGTGTTATTCCCCACAATCACCGGAGGAAGCGATGAGAAATTCTCGTCTTGTGACTCCTCCTGTCTTTGCACCACGAAGTGAATCGACTTCTCCTCGCTGAACGAAATACTTTTCTGCGACTCAGGATTTGGCTCAAGGCTGACTGGAGCTTTCTGTACGTCGACAGAAGCAGAGAAAGCTTTGGCGTCGTGCGATGACGCCATCGACATTTCACCGACGTCTGGGGTCCCTTCTCCACGAATATTCCGCGTGACTTCAACACTTTTCTCTGCAGTAGGGGCTACCAGGGACATGTCAGCGACGACACGTGTAGGCTCACAAATCACAGATGCTGCCGTATGATCGTTAAGGCTAAGTGGTGCACTATCAACTCGGTCATCAGAAAGACTTTGGGTCATCACATGCGATTCTTCCAACTCCCGCTGATCTGCTGTCACCAGAGGGGTCTCAATAGAATGTCCCGGACCTTTGTCAGAACTTGTTGCAGGAAAGTTCGACTCTGGAACCGGCGACGTTGGTTCGTCGTAGCGTGAGCTGTCGTCAATACTACTGGTATCATTGCTGCCTAGAGAAGTTGCATCTACACTTTTATCGACATCGCTGTCTGTCCCACCACGCTCATATTCTGTGACTGAATCATGTAATGCTTTCTTTTTCTTCGACTTTTTCTTATTTTGACATTTAAACACAATACTGTTTTCATCACTTATTTTCACTCGTTTTTCCTTCGACCTCCGAAGTTTGGGAGAATGGGCGACGGAGTCGTGTTCCTTGTCACCCACCACACTCTGAGAAGCAGATGGGATCGAATCCTCCGAATCTTTAGAGTGTTGAGAGACAGAGGAATACGACGCCCCCTTCTCTGAACCCGTTTGTAATGTCTTAAGCCCAGCATTACCACTGCTCTTGGAATGCATTTGACCGAGCAGTTTTGATATCACAGACTTTGGAGAGCGATCACTTTTCTCAGGAGAGATCTCACCCGGTTCTCTCACCTTGCAGGCCGGGGGGCTCGACTTACTGGCCCCCTCCTCACCACTAAGTGGTGTCTCCTCAGAGCTCAACTTTGAAACACGAGAATTTTCTTCCACTAATCTTTGACCGTCCTTCGTACCAGCAACACCACTTTCAGTAGACTTTTTTGTCTCGTTCTCGCTGAGCTGAGAGAGTAATCCGACGCTGCCTTCATGAGAAGGAACCTGTCCATCACCACCATTGGTCACTGTTTTCCTGGACACAGCACTCTCAATCGGGTCACCAGAGGGGTCCATGTGAGCGCCATGTGTTTCTGCAGTGACAGAAACGCTGTGATCCGAATGAGATGACTGATGAGAGTGTAAATCTCCCACAGGCAAAGAACTCTTAGTTGCCGGCTCAGACAAATGTTCGGGAGCGTGCGTTTCCGAGACTTCATTCGCTGAACGCTCTTGTAGATCATGCACATCTTTGTTGGCGGCCACGAGGCCACCAGAGTGTGAGGCAGAGTTACCCTGCACAGTTACTCCCCCTTGTACAGAATCGTCACTTTGTAAAGCGGCGTCCGTTACACCGTTACCAGATAGTGATGTCCATGCGAGAGAGGAATGTTCCTTGCCTGCCTTGTTAGAGTCTGAGCTGGCAGACTTCTCGGACTCAGGAGAATATGAAACACTTTCACCACCTTGAGAAGAAATAACACCATCATCTCCCACCCCAGAAGCACTTGGTGAAGTAGACGAGAGTTCAGCTGCCTTGTGTGGGGGCGAGGAGAAAGTTTCTCTCGCCTCGTCAGAATGCACCGACCGACCCAAAGAAATGGTCGACGCTTGTGAAGCAGACGGACTTACGACGCCGTAGACATCACTTGTGTCTCCCACAGCGGTGATTGTCGAGGGAACAGACGTCCCGGTCAGCGTGTCGGTGCTAGCCATCAACGTGTCGGAAACAGAAGTCTCGCTCGCAAAACTTTCTGCCACACTCGACTCAATAGCTGCTACTGCTGCCGGCGCAAAAACGTCTCCATCCTGCATCTGATCATCGTCGGCTCCACCCTTTTCTAGCTGCCATCCTTCATTCACATCATCATCATTATTACTCCCCTCTTGCGGCAGTTCTTCCATCATGCTGGGAACTCTCATGGCGTCCCAGGCGGGGGGAATAACAGCGTGGTGAATCCCGCCGGTGAAGTGCTGCGGGGAGTACGAGCCGCTCGCCTCGCTACTGTCCTCCTCAGCGACGGTAGCGCTGCTGATGCTGCTGCAGCTGGTGGTCACGGAGGAGAAGCGAGGGCGTCGCTCGTGCAGCTCACACACGGCGTTTTTGTCGCCACAGAAACAAACAGAGCCCTCCGACAGCAGGCCGTGACGAGCCAGGACTGACAAGTCTTCGTGTAGCTCGACTTTCTGCCAGGTTTTCCCCGTGAGGTTCGAGCGAGTGACCCCTGTGCGAAAGTAGACCTCCTTTAGGTTGTTGCAAATCGCAAACACCTGTAGAGAGAAAAACTAGAAGTGATCTCAGCTAAAACAGCACCTGCACATGGATGGCTGGTGCCTCTATAGATAAATTATTGATGGTCAAGGTAGAAGTGATTTTCTGCATGGAAGTGGAACCAAATTGGACAAAAGAATATTAATCCGTAGACAGGAAAAAGAGGGTAAAACAGCACCTGGACATGGATGGCTGGTGTCTCTGTTAATAAATTATTGATGGTCAAGGTCTAGAAGTGATCTCCCTGGTTTAATTAATAATACTAACAAAATCACCGAAAACACAATAATGAACATTGCAAAAGAAATGTTGCAAGAAAAATAAGTAACTCCATTCGACTTTGCTTCACAGGGTGGACAAAATCGTAAAAGTTCCTCATTTTTCCTGCCAAAGCAATAATAGATCAAGGGAAAACCTTCAGCTCTGACAAATCAATGAAAAAAGAAACAAAATGCAATATAAAACAACCTAAACAGTATGTTACTTTAACACAGCAAAAGCTCAGTATTAAACAATCTAAATGTGTTAAATTACCATTCTAGTTTCCTTCACAGTCCATGCTTTAAATAATAATAATCATAATAACAATAATCATAATAACAGTAACAATAATAACAATAGGCCTAATAATAATTACAACTACAACAACAACAACAACAACAACAACAACAACAACAACAACAACAACAACAACAACAACAACACAGCAACAACAACAACTACAACAGCAACACAGAAATCGTAGATGGAAAGGACAAATATATATATAAACCTGCTCCCAAAAAGCCCCATCAGCAACATCTTCCCACAGACTGCCACAAGTAGGCACGAACTCAAGCACTTCAGGTTCTGTAGAACGGACGTCGATTTTGGCGCCGAGGGCCCGTCAGATCACAAGGAGATGGTGGCAAAACTCGCCGAGACAGCCAAATCTTATGCTCGGGAGAAGAGAAAAAAAAAGGCCCATATGTGAGGCATCGTGGTGAAATCAGGCGCTCGTCAAAATAATCAATGTGAAGAAGCTGGCATTCTTTGCGCAGGTTTGCGAATTTCTATTGAATTTTTGTTGTTTCTTTTT